GATTAGTTGCAAAGGGACAGATGTTTTACCGGGGACAACGATGTTAATGGCCTGCTTTGTACCTGGTAGCTGCCGACGCCGAGAGGCTAATCCTTAAACAGCGCGTGTCGACTGTCCACATGTCGGGAACCGGGTCAGAGTTGACCGATGGTCAGTTGCAGCAGCAGCAGCCGCCGCAACGTGAGGCAAAAGTTCATCACAGCGTCACGTCACCCCGCGACCACGGGTCATTTCAATGCTTACGACGCGTTGAACAATCGCTCGGCAGGTGTATACGTAATTGGACGCATCACAGTATGTCATGAGTAGCCATTGTCCATTGTGCTATCGAGACGCCGTCAATTATCGCTCTGACATGAAGAGTGCTAGTCATCCGCCGCCTGTCCGGAAAATCCCACCGGACAGGTGTGACCTGAACTTGTAACCCTTGGACAATTAGCCGTCAATGGTGAAGGCAGAGGCGGGCAGCCGGAAGACTTCATGCCTTCTGTCAAAATGCCATGCCGCCACTTGTCATATAATTATGCAGCAGGCGTGTTTCAACTATTCATCTGCAAACGTTATTGAAAGTAGATGGGTTAAAGTCAGCAGGGGTCAACCGACGCCACTTGAAAACTGAACCCATTAGCATAGACGGAAACACGCAGTGTGCAATCAATTTTTGTAGTTACAGCAAGAATTAGAACACTAATAAATTAGGATTTGATATGCCCGTTGCTGGACTCTGAGATAATGCACAAATGCCACAGACGCCTTGGAAGACCAAATGGGCCAAAAGAACATGACGGCAATGATTCATTTTTAAATAGCAGCACAGATTACTGGACTTTACAATTAGGCCGTCTATGTGAACAACTAATCGTACGGAAGTCTAACAATACACACAAGCCCAACAAATAATGAGACGACAACTAGAATGCAGAATTAGCACTAGAGTACTACTGTAGTTCATTTGATTCCGTTTTAATAACGCCATGTGACTGGTTGAACTTTTCATTCTTTGGTTGCATTCTCTTTTGACGAATAGTGCTTTCATCACACATTTGGGTACAAGGGTAGCCATTCATGTTTATTACTACGAAGAGCGCAATGGCTGAAACAGTCTTGCTTAAAATCAAGCAACTTATGTGAGAGGTCGGTTCCTTTTTATCACACTACCAGATCTTGTTTAACCACTTGTTATTCTGTGTTAATCAGATTGGATAGTCTGATGAATGATCTCTTTCAGAATAACAGTGTTGTTTACTAAAGCCTTCAATATTAGACTTGATGATGCTCATAAATCAGAAACTGATCCTTCGTCCTGTTGACCTCGCATTTGATATTTCTTTTTCTATTCAGTACATGCCAGGCAATATTGGTAGCCAATATCTGTTGGGTACTTTGCATTTCTTATGGCACATGGACAGTTTGGCAGGCGATCTGACGTTGGATACCGGTAGAAATATGTAGTTTTCACTGAGGGAATTAGCTGCAAAAAAAGCAGTTATACTTTTTCGTTTCCTGGTGTGATTCAAGAATATGGAGTACAATGAAGAAGCAAAGGTCTTTACTCCTAGAGACATTTGAATGCCGCACACTAACCAGCAGTATAAATCAAGTTGCAGAACATCCTGATGGGTAAAAATGATCCTTTTCGTTAAAACACTTATTTCCAAGATGGAGATATACCATTCCTCGGCATCTACTTAGCAAACTTTACGAAATCCCCAGGTGCTGAACTCCAATCGCGTCGAGACTTGACGAATGAGAAAAGCGAGTCATTATGTCGAAGTGTTCTGGTACACATCAACACTAGGTCTTTCTCGCGATCATGTGAAGAGTGCACTAGTTTGCCGAGGGTTTCAGCTGAATATACACTTACATTAAGTGGGACAAGTAGTAAAATAAACTTGTTCGATGATCTGTTACGAACCAGTGGTCGCTAAAACCTGTGCTGTAAGATTATGTTTACATATCCATATTCATCTGGGATTCAGGAATAGCCAAGATATGTGTTAAAACCGTTCTCCCCTAGTCGTATCATGAGAATTGTTAGACTAGTACCATCCTCCATTCTTTCAAAATAATATGATCGGATAAGCAGGTTCACATCTTGCAGACGGGGTGCCACTAGAAAAAGCATTTTATAATGCGCAATTTATTGGCTGGTGACTCCCTGTCCTTGTAAATTACGTGTTATCACAACCAATCATGAAAATATCGCATTACAGGATTCACATGGGTGCCGTTTAACCAAATGCTTTTTCGATGAATTTACTTCGTATTGATTTCTAATGGCAAAAAGTTTGTTAACTGCTAGTCAGGTAATCACTGGCGCTAGCAAGCTCTAATGCGGCGTTGTTGCCAATTAAGGGAACGTTGAAGCCCAAGGTTCAAACCGTCATTTTCCTGCAATTCGCCCATCCCAGATTATAAACTTTTGTCGCTTTTAATATTCGTCATGAGTTTTATTAATTGCACTTATTAGCAAAACAATATCGGTATTGGTCGTGAATTAATTCCGTCGATTTCAATTCTGCCTGAAGCAACTTACGTTCTGAAAATCAGTAAGCAGCGATTGATTATATGATAGAGGCCTGTGACAGCCGAACCGTTTTCTTCTTTAATACGCCTTAACCTCTTAGCATTGTGCTTAGCATGACAGAGCCGCCAGCGAACAGTAGCAGTAATTGCCTAGCCAATTGCTTGGATGCAGAATGAATCAGATGTGCATCAAGAGTTGACAGTTAATAGTTTCACCTCGCAGGAAAAAAGTATTTATTAATTACCTATCTTATGGTGACAAGTCAATAAGCTCGAGTTCTTGGTAAAACATAGCGTGGGTGTGCCATGCAACATCTACCCACCTAGGCAGATTGGCTACCGATGTACAAGCGTGATACGATAAACAAGCCTATTGCTACAATACGCCACCTATGCATCTACCCTAACGTTTTGGTGGCGGAGATCCAAAAACACAAAAAAGCAAAGTCGAGGTTACGCATCGTTTTGTTTAATACAATGGATAGTCGGGTATCAGGCAAATTGCAGCTACGTATGGATTTCGTATTGGACAGCACGGCTGTACACCTCGTCCATTTTGCCATGACCAAAACATAGTACCTATCTGTCTATATTCGTAGCAACTCATTGACTTTCTACTAGTTTCTCAGCTGGTTGCACTGAAGCGACGTGGGGTTAATTTCTTGCGCAAAGAATTTTGCGGTTAAGCTAAAGATAATCGCTTGAGCTGATTTAAACCAGGCACTAGGAGTTCAGAGCTGACCTCTTTGCAATTGTGCCACCACGTCCAAACCAAGACCAGTAGTTGAGGTGTGATGAAGTGCATGGTTCATAGCTGTCGTAGGAATGCAGTAGCCCGGATATTGATAACGAGGGACTGAATCTGTCTGATGTACTCTGAATGAATAGCGTGACAGAAATATTTCCAACCGAAAGAAAACGGTCTATATTAATCTGTGTCATGCTCACGTCTGTAAGTCTATCCAGCGATCCAGGTGTATATAATAATAGTTAACATTATCGGTGGCTCATGCGCCACTAGGGGTGACACCGTAAGCGGAATACACGCAGAACAGCAGAATGCCGCTTTCGATGCTTATGTTTGTGACGTGTCGTAAATGGCTGAAGTTGTTGAGCGGTTACTGAATCTGAGCTCATGCCAAACAGGAAGCAAAGTATGGACTCAGGCTAAACTCAAAATTTAACATATCAAGCAAAAATTGTGCCCCAGAATTTTCGAAGCATAGGGCTTCTCTTTGAATGTAAGATTTGTAATTGATCTATTTATTTTTTAAATGCTTCATCCCCTTCTGATAGTGATATCGAGAGCTATATCTGAATCGTTTTATATTGCTGTCACCAGAAGTGCGTGATTCGAAAGGGTCTTACCACTTCAGGCACTATAACAATGTCAAGTTATTATCAAGACATTGTCTTGCAGTGTGGTTCTCAGCTAGCTCAGTTAGGAAGAAGTTTTTCTTTATAGAAATTATGGATCCTCATGGTGTTCGGTTTCATACCCCAATCATAAGGAGGAAAGTGTGATGAAAAATGACCTAAACAAATCTGCAAATCAGCAACAAATGGTAAACTGACTTCTGGCATAATTGTAACTGCTGACCCAGTTTGTTTTCTTTGTGTGTTTGTTCAAAATGTCACAGTGTTCTTTTAAATTATTGAATTGTGTCTGGCATTGAAAACGTCCAATGCAATTTATGCTTCATCACTCCATTTTTTTTGCAATTTAGACAAAACCTTGCTTGGTATAACTTTGTTTTGTCCAGGTTTTATCAAGTTGTCGTGTACATTGTGGTTCATTGAAGTCAATCTGACGTCTAACTGATCGACTCTCTGCCTGACATCAATGAAAATGGTTCCAAATATCTACCTTCTCAAAATGTCATGCAAATTTTGCACAAAAGTGAAAGAATCTGAGCAAAATGTAAAAAAACCAGAGCAACGAAGCATCATTAGTGCAGAATTTAAGGTATTCAGGATTTTGGCCATTAAAGTGCCCTTTAAACAGTACCGGCATTGTTGATCTCCTTGAGCCGTGGCCAACAAAGCCCCTTACCCTAAAAAATGACATTATTGCAGATAAAAGACAACATTATGTGGATTATTGCCTTCTACATAATACTGTTCTAACCAAGGTCTAAGTGGATCATATTAGCAAGTCAAAAATGTCCAAACAAGTAATAACATTTAAATTTTTTCTCATATTGTAATAACTTAGTAAACAGTCATGATCTTCTAAACAAAAAATACGTTCGTATGTTAGAGCA